TGTAAAAAGGTTGCAGCCATCTTCACAGGTTTGGCTTGCTCCAGTGCCCCCCTACCGCCCCCCTTCTGCTCCAGCGCCCCCCTGCCGCCCCTTTTCGTTCTACCGCCCCCCTGAAAAATGAAATCGCCCCCTGGGGGGCATTATTGCCCACGTTAAGAACCACTGCTCTAGACCATGTCTACTCCAGGCCAGATGCTCTCCAAATGTGGAGGACTAAATTTTTCATCATCTACACTCAGCCAGCATGGTTAATGCAGCTTTGTTGTCTTTTTATCTCCGCTGCCTGAACAACCAGACACACCCTTCTTCCTTTTGTAGGCTTTGTAGCACGTAGCTGTTAGGAAAATGGAACTCTTTCTCACCTGCCTAAGCAGTAGTACATAAATGTTCTCCCTTCTCTTGGCTTTCCCTTCCCCTCATTAGAATGGGCAAAACCTGGTCTGTGTTTATAGCTTACTGTAGAAATGTGACTGGCACAGGTTCCTCAGTGTTCACAGCCCACAAAATAAAGTGCAAAATTTGGGGCTGATATTTCTGCTCTGTGTCCTCAGTTCTCTTGGAGCAGTTCTATCAGCCAAAGTATTATTCCTATTTTACAGGTGGAATCCTGGCAGAAGTAAACAGCCATTTGCAATGGATTTGTATTTGGAAATCAAGGATAGCTGCAGTAGGTTCAGTGATGAGGGTGACCTATAAATACAAGGAATCTTTTAATTTATTATCCTGCAGAGATGCCATAAAGCAGATCCATAGAGCTGAATACAGTGGTGCCTCGCTTAGCGATGTTAATTTGTTCCGAAAAAAATCGCTGCTAAGTGATTTCATTGCTAAGTGAAACGCGGTTTCCCATTGAAATGCATTGAAAACCAGATAATATGTTCCAATAGGAACGAATTGCCTCCTTAAGCGAAAATTGCCATAGGAAACATCGCTAAGCGAAACGCGGTTCCCCAATTCAAATGCATTGAAACCTATTCAGTGCATCTCTATGGGGGAAAAATACACCAACAAATTAAAAAAGAGGCAGAATAAAGTCAAATTTGGTTAACAAAGGGGATATTAAGTGCACTTTATGATTTCAAACATTTTGAATAGTAAACTTTAACTTTATAAATAACAGGAAAACATTTAAAAAACAGCAAACATGAGGCTGTTTAAACCATTGTTAAGTGAAACAGGGGACCCAAAATTTAATTGCTATGCGAAGCATGGTCCCAACCATCGCTAAGTGAAAATCGCCCATAGGGACCATCGCTAAATGAAGCGCAAAAACACTCTGAAAAAGTCATCGCTAAGTGATTTGGTCGCTAAATGGAGCGCTCGTTAAGCGATTCACCGCTGTATCTTATTTACTAGAAGGGATAATCCAGACAGCACACCCATAGGGTAATTCTGAAGCGAGCTATCTCTGGCAGTATCTATCCATTGTTTCTTCAGCCTCAATTCCTTGCAGGAAAAAAGGAAAAATAGTTACCTATTCTGCAAGGCTGTAGAAAGAGATTGCCAATGTATTGCTTCAGAACAAAAAGTGTTGTAAGATGGGCACTACCTCTGAAGAGCATGGGTGAACAGAATTCAGCTTTAGGGGATCTGTTTGCTTTTGACTAGAAGCCAAAGCTTTATCAACCAGAGTCTGTAACAAAGATATATGCATTATAGTTTTTTAAAAATTCCAAGCCCAGAAATTTTGAATGGGGAATTCACAGTCACGTATAAAAGTTTCACACCTGGATGCTCAGAACTGTCTTCATAGATCTTCCAGGGAATCCAGGTCTACTTTTCTGCTCAATTCTGCCTTATCTGTTCTGAAAGAATGTGTCCTGGGGGGGGGTTGTTGCAAAGGTACTGATTGCCCTTTAGACCCTTACTCAAAACTAGAAATGATTAATCCAGGCTGGGTTGCACACTCGCAGAGGGAAGACAGAGAATCCCGAAGGGAAATGACAGCTGAAATAGTCAAGAGAATGCTCCTCTGGTGGTCCCAGAAACAGCAGCTGCAGCAGTAGCAAGCCAAGGAATGCAGCCAAGCAAGAGCGGTGAGGTTGAGGCAGGGCAAGGCTGAGCAGCGCACTGAGACACAGGGGTGGAGACTTGCCTTGAGGCTGCCTGCCTAGCCTAAGTTATGTGGAAAGGTTCTGACTGTTTAACTGTTTAACAACAGCCATGTTCCCGCGGCCCAGCTGAGCTCCAGCGCGGCACCCCATGGGGAGCCCCACGCCAAGCGCCCTCCTGCTCCCCACTGCTTTTCTGCTGAGCCTTCTGCCTGCTGCACCGCGGAGTCACCTGCCGCTCGCCCACCTGCAAGTCTTCACCAACTTTGTAAGGAGCTTTGGTTTACTTGGGCAAAGATTTGGTAATGTGAGGTGGAGGGTGGTAGTGCGGGAAAGGGACGGTCCACCCCACTGTGCAATAGAGGGTTTTAAAATTGTGGATATTTTCTTATAACTAGAGTATAAGATCATTTATGATTGCTCGAAGGGAGGGAGGGTGGGCATGCGGGTGCTAAGCATGGGGTTGAATGGTCGTGGAAACATGTACTCTTCAGCATGCTTCTTTCTTGCAGAGTTTGGAACTTTTACTTTTTTGGACTACGGCTCCCAGAACCCCCTAGTCAGCATGGCCATGGCTTATGCTGGCTCTGCATGGGAGTTGTAGTCCAGAAAATGAGCCATTCCAAAATCTGATCTCTCGTGCTTTGTGAAGCAGGAGAAGTCCAGCGAGCTTTCTGAGTTCCATGCAGCTTCTTATTTCAGGTGTCCAAGATGTCTCCTCTCCTATGTCCGGGACACCCCTTGGTCTGGGAGTGGGTTTGCCCTGCTTGCTTCCAATCTGGCTCTGACACGCGGTTGTGTGATGTCGCGACCAACAGAGTCATTCAGACTGCTGAAAGCTGTGCATGGGAAAAAGAGGTGGTGTGCTGAGCAATTTGAAGCATTCCATTACTAGTCCATGAGCAATGCTGGCATTATGACATGGCTGCGGTTCCCCAGGAAAGCAGTCATGGAGCTGAGATTGGACTGAAGCCTTATAGCATGGGTGGGATGAGAAGGATCTGATGCAAGGGTAGAGAAGGTGTGGTCCAACAGATATCGTGGGATGACAGTTCCTATCATCCCTGGTAAGCGATAACCAGTGGCAGGGGCTGCAGAAAAATGCTGTCCAGCAGCACACAGAGGCTACACACGGTTCTCGTCCTTGAACTATGACCAGTAGCCAAAGTGATTTTTATTTGTCCTAATTTTAGGCTGCGGAAACAAAGAAAGGTGGGGTGGGGTATGTAAACAAGCACAGATTTTGATACAGAAGGACTGTAAGCTCCATTCAGCGGGCACAGAAACAAAGAAAGGTGCGGTGGGGTATATAAACAAGTGCAGATTATGATACAGGAATAGGGTTGCCAGATACATGGGTACTCAGCGGGCACAGTATTCATCTCCAGGTTGCCGTATAGGAACAACTCCTCAGGTGCAGGGCAAAATGCAAGCTATTCAGGGCCAGCAAAATCAAGTTGCGGCAGAGGGTTAACAGTTCAGACCACAGATATGTGCATCTTGTTTGTCTCCTTCGCTGGTGCATAGCATATTAGCATGTTTGAGGAAAGGACCTGAACCCTTTACTCATACTTTTTAGCTTTGTTTGTCCATGTGTGTTTTTTTGCTATTTAAGATGTGGATATTTTTTACATGGGCATGTTCCAACTCAGTTGGAAGGAGGTAGGTCCAGGAAAATTACTACGTACCTTATCCTTCAGAACATGATTTCACCCATGTCATGTGTTGTTGTGTGCTGCATCAAAGTGTAAAATCGATTTATTGTGTGTCATGGCAGGAAGGTGGAAGTTAAGCTTCCTATATTTGTTGTGTGTCATCTGTGAACAGAAGTGTGAGGAGGTATTTTTACTGTTTGTTCCTCTCCCCCCCCCCCAGTTGTGCCCCATAGAACTGGAGAGTCCTGCCCTCTTGTCTTTAAAACAAAAACAACCTTACCTTTATGAAGCGTTTCCTTGGTTCTTGTTTACAGGGTCAGCACTGCCCCCTGACTCGGTTCTTCCTTCCTTTCCATGACCATAAGCTCTCTGAACTTTGGAGCCTCTAACTTTTAGAGGAAGGCCTGAGGCTCGCACGCCCTGTACAAATACACAAAAATGGGCAAGACATTTAACAACTGGAAGTTTTCTCATTAGGGCCAACTTTTACTGAGAAACATTCCTTTGTTGCCACCCATTTCTGATGCTATAAACAGAAATTTAAACAGAGTTCTACGCCTTTATAGCACAGAAACTCCTTTTGTATAGGAACTGGCAATGCTACTCTTTCCTCTTGTCTGCAGCCACTTCTTGGTGATGATCCGGTCTTCTGCAACTTGGTGGGTTCTAGATAATGTTGAGCTATAACTCCCATCACCCCTAGCCAGCTTGAAGAGCAGAAGTTTGGGGAAGATGTCATAAAGTTTATATCCAGTTTTCACCATTGCTCCCTATGAAGCTGCAATTAAGATTATAAACTGACCGGTCAGCAATTGTAGTTGCGTTGCTGCTGCCTTGGCGCCAAGACAGTAAACCTCCCTTATTCTTTTAGTGTGGCAGTGGCACATGCAAGCTCCTCTCATGAATGTTGTTTATTTATCCTGCCTAGAATTTTTGTTTTTACTTTAGGCAGTACTCTTCCAAGGTAAATGATTTCATGACTGACAAAACCCTGACGTGCAGACGTTTTCAAGTGTCAACATTTCCATCCCAGGAAAAGCTGACATGTGGAATTTCTGCCTGTTGTGCCCTTGTTGAAAACAAGGAACAGTGACAGGAAGATGAAAGCTGTGTCCTATACAAATCGGCTAAATTAATTGTCTAATTGCTGGAAAGATGCCCACTGGGTTGCACTGGAAAGGGTTACTTTGCAGGGAGCAATCTTTCTTAAAGCGACCCTTCCATCTGCCTGAAATTTATTTCAGCCTGGCCCTCTAAAGTACAGTAATAACCTTACAGCTGGACCAAAAACTCTCCATCTTGAGCACAGATTACTTCCATTCCAAATTTATTTCAGCCTGGCCCTCTGAAGTAATAACCTTACAGCTGGACCAAAAACTCTCCATCTTGAGCACAGATTAGGGTTAGGCTAGAGTGCATTTCCCAGTGCAACATGGAATCTCCAGGAAATTGATTGCACTGGACTACCCCACAAGCCGTCCAAAAGGTACAGTGGACCCTTGACTTACAGATGGCTTGACTTACAGACTTTTTGAGTTACAGACTTCTCTGGCCGCAAAAATGTAGGCTTGACTTGCAGCCTGAGAATTGACTTACAGACCAGAAAAAAACCAAAATGGAACAAAAACGGCCTGTTACGGGATGCACTGTAGGTCAATGGAGACTTGATTTACAGACTTTTTGACTTGAGAACCGCCTTCCAATACGGATTAAATTCTCAAGTCAAGACCCCACTGTAATCTATTTCCCTCTGATCACATCCTCAGCCTCTATATTAGTACCCTATATACTAACTGGATCTATAGAATTTACACAGGTGTCCATTAAGAAATCCTATTCAATATTAGTAGCTGTGTCATAGTTGTGACAAACAATTTAGCCCAGCATTTTTGCTCCTTGGTAACAATTGGTTATTCCTGATTCAGAACCTTTATTTTTTTTAATGTATTCATACAAATAAGTGAGAACATAAGAACCATGATGTATCTAATCCAGCTTTCTGGACCCACAGTGGTGCACTAGATGCCTCTAGGAAGCCCAGAAGCAGAATATTGGTGCGATCAGGCCCCTCTGCTCATGTTTTTCAAAAAATGGTATTAAAAAGCATATTGCCCCTGATGGTGGGAGTATTATATCAGCCTCACATTTAAAAGCCACCAGTTGCCTTGCCCTCCATAAATTAGGTAAAGGTAAAGGTTCCCCTTGACATTTAGTCCAATCATGTCTGTCTCTAGGGTGCAGTGCTCGTCCCCGTCTCCAAGCCGTAGAGCCAGTGTTTGTCCGTAGACAGTTTCCGTGGTCACGTGGACAACGCGACTAGACACAAAATGTTTTTACCTTCCCACTGTGGTGGTACCTGTTTATCTACTTGCATTTTTTGCTTGCTTTCAAACTGCTAGGTTGGCAGGAGCTGGGACAAGCGACTCACTCTGTCCCGTGGATAAGATCTTATGAGGGTCTTCTGACCTTGTAGCACAGCGGCCACTCCCCCTCCATAAATTAGTCTGATGCTAAAGCTGGCCAAGTTGTTGGCCATCATCACTACATGATATTTGTCAGTAAAATATGCAGTCCATAAAGAGGCACTTTCTCTTACCTCTCTCAAACCCCTGACTCTACAGGTGGCCATAGATATTTATATTCTAATACAAGGAGGGAGAAAAAGGGAGATAAATTTTCTCTGTCCATGTTCTCTGTATCACAGTTACTCTGGGTTAAGATATCTGCTCACATACTTTTGCGCATGCACTTTTCCCTCATGTTTTCCTTCAGCTACCTTTTATTTGCTGACTGTCATCATCATCATCATAGAACTGCAGAGCTGGAAGGGACTCTATAGATTACTGGGTCCAATCCTTGTCAGGGAGGCACAATGGGGAATCAGACTCCCCAATTCTGCAGTCAGATATCTGAACCACTGAGCTATCCAGATGTTTCCCCAGCAGAGCCTTTAATGATCTGCATGAGAGGCATGAATTGAAGATGAGACATTTTTTACCATCAATGTCTTCATGCCATTGAAGGCTGTATTTGTTTTCCTACCCCTCGTGTAGCTTTTATTCATTTCCTCCTTCATGAGACCAATTTTATACCACTGTTTGCTTGAAGAGGTTCCCAGAATGGCTTACACACAATTACATAAACAAACTAGACAGTCCCCACCCTCAGGCTTACTGTCTAAAATAGAAGTTGACACGAAAGGAAAAAGTGTTGAGGCGAGAAGAGGAAAGTCAACATGCTGTGCCCTTTTAAAATGGCCTTGCTTTCCATCTCTCCCCCCCATCTCACAGTCTGATAGTCTGGCTGCTGCTACAGTTGAGGAAAATGAAAAAGCAGAGATGAGGAGAACCGAAAAGCCTTAGCAGAGATTATGGTATGGCACAGCTTACTCTGCTGCAGCCTTGTGCATTTTGGTTGGGAGGCAATGGTCAGAAAAGCCAACGGGAGTTGGTCTCCCAGCAGAGATGATGGAATGGTTTTACCTCCTTTCCCTTAATCTCCTGCAGACTGATAGAGCAGCTCCCTCAAAATGGTCTCCCCTGGAGTGAGCCATTTCTTCTGTGCTGTTACTAGAGGCTTGTATTTCAGGCAGTGCATCTCAGAGTTTAAACTCATTTCAGTGATAACACATTGCCCACAAGCTTTTCAGTGATTTGTTATTATTGCCCAAGATGTTACTCAATCAAAGGTGTGTCTCTCTCTGTGTGTGTATACACACGATAAGAACAGAGGTCGCTTTCGTGCGCACAGAGAAAACCACATTTGTGGGCACAGCAAGCACATACAGCCAAAGCCTCCCTCAAAGAGAGAACACAACAGGAGCTGAAGGACGCTTGTCAATTGCCACTTTCCTGAGATAAGAATCATTTGCAGGTGACTGGGTAGAGAAGTGTTACTCAGCTTGGGTTTTTCTCCCCCGCCTCAACTTTTCATTTAGGCCACACATAATTAGTGTTCTGTAGACAAGAAGGCTGCTGTCTTTGGTGCACCTCTGTTTGTTTAGGGTTAAGTTAAAGTGGGGGTTGGGCAAAGTGCCACCATCCAGATGCTCCCACGGGACTACAATTTCCATTATCCGTAGTCACTGATGAAGGTTGCAGTCTAGTGAAATCTGGCAGTCCTAATTTAGTCCAATCCTGTCCTGAATTAATGCCAGTTGAGTCTGGGATGAAATAGAAGCAAACCGTGAAGATGCTAGGGAGGGTTATTTCAAGCCACTTTGCTGCCCCACACCTCCCTCCCATGTCCCATGTGCAAAGCGAACTGGACTGGCTGTCAAGCCATAATGTCAATGCTAAGGAAGGAATACACATTCCCCACTGCACTAGAGAGCAAGAGACAACTGTGGGGTTGAGTAGCTTTGTCTGTTCCTCACCTGTCACGAGGTGTTGTCTGAGGAGGCTGGCTCAATCTGCCTAATTCCAGGCTTGGAAGCTGGCAGTTTCAGGATTTTTACAGACACATAGTTATGTTTAAAAATCCTGTTCCTCATCCCTTTCTGGTTGTTAGCATTTCACCGGCACTGGGTAGCAATAGGATGGGTGCATGAAAAGCAGGCCAGGGTTCCTGCGAATTCAATACTTGTGTGGCAGAGGGAATTTCAGCAGGAGTAGCTTGCATGACAATCCATAACCTGCTAATGTTCACTCTTCTGCACAAATGTTCAGGAGCCCTGTCCCCCTTTCCATGGGGCCTGCACAGATTTCAGCACAAATGAATGTAAAGAATGTCCAGTAGGGTCCAGATCAAGGCTGGCATGGTTGAATGTATGCCCCTAAAAAGCTTCCAAGCAAGATAATAAGGCAAAAGACTTCTCCTCATTGCTTGATCCTTCAGCACATGGTGTTTACTCAGTGTTGAATTGATTAGATACAAGAGAAGGCAGGACTTTGCATTTTTTTATATTTGTGGAGAACAAGGTGTTTTAGTAGGTGTGGCTTTCATGACAAACTGCAGCTGTCAAAATTACCTCTTTCACCCATCGACTGAAGAGACAGGAGCCCTGTCCTTTTGTGCCTGGTGACCTTAATTCAATGGTATTTTGCCTCTAGCTATGGTTGCCTAGTACAGGTACCATTAGAGCCATGTTTTTCTTGCAGTAAATTCTTCATGAAATAATAGAATTATATGGGAGTGGAAAAGAACATTCTTTACTTCTTGAAGTCTTTGGACCGGTGGGGGGGGGAAGCTAGCAAAACACTTGTGCAATTTGTACCTCCTCATATTGAGCCCGGCTCAGTTTGACTGTTTACTTTGAGCGTACTTCCTGTTCTGCAGCTTTAAAGTGAATAAGGGAGGTTACTGAGTTTCCACATTTCCCCAGTAGCATTATTCCATATGTCTGAAGAAGTGGACATGGCCATGAAACCTCACATTAAAAATACAGTGGTGCCTCGCTAAACAGTTACCCCACATGACAGTTTTTTCGCTAGACATTGACTTTTTGCGATCGCTATAGTGATTCACAAAACAGTGATTCCTATGGGGGAATTTCTCTGGACAATGTCTGGTCCCTGCTTCGCAAACCAATTTTCGCTAGACGACGATTTTGACAGCTCCCTCCGTGCTGGCAAAACAGGTGTTTTCGGGACCTAAGTTTCACAAGACAGCGATTTAAACAGCAGATTGGCGGTTCGCAAAGTGGCTTTCCTATGGCCAATCTTCACTAGACAACGATGATTGTTCAATGCATTCCAATTGGGAAATGCTTTTCGCTAGACAATGATTTCACTAAACAGCTATTTCAGTGGAACGGATTATCATCGTCTAGCGAGGCACCACTGTAATAGTCTTTAAGGTGCTACATGATTTTTGTTGTTGTTGTTTCTTTTTTCCGCCTCCCCCTTTGGATTTCCCCAGTAACTCTTTTCTTTTTCTTCTTTTCATAGGATTGCAGAGCAAATGGTAAGTAAGGAAACAATCATCCCTGTGCTTTTAGTCTGTGTCGATCAGGGCACAACAGGTAGTGTGGCCAGATGCAGAAAAAAGGAAAGCGCTCCTGTAACTTTTAATAGTTACACAAAAGGAGGTACATTTGCAGGCTGTACAAGTAACAACATCTAGAAATGGTAATTTGTACCCCAAAATGGAAAAAGGGACGTGGTGGCACTGTGGGCTAAACCGCAGAAGCCTGTGCTGCAGGGTCAGAAGACCAAGCAGTTGTAAGATCGAATCCACGCGACGGAGTGAGCGCCCGTCGCTTGTCCCAGCTCCCGCCAACCTAGCGGTTCGAAAGCATGCAAAGCTCTTCTTAACTCTTTTTTTTTTCTTTAGCTAGAGAAGAACTGACCTTGTACAATTTCTCTCTAATTAGCACCTGGGCATAAGCAGATTTCTAGCTTTTTCGTTGCAGCTCTGAACTAAATCCTATGAAATACAACTCTATTCTATTTTCATAATCAAATTCATGACAATTTGTACCCCAAAATGGAGCCCCATCCTCTCTTGCCTCTGACCACTAAAGCAGCCGGAGACCGTAGGCACCTGGGATGGAGAAGTAAGCTATGGCAAAGGAGTTGAAATGCTGTGGTGAGGTGCTGTGTTGCACAGGATTCCCCCCCCCCCATGGGGGAGGGAAACCAAATCAAATGGCTCCTAGTCGGATGAGAAACTCTCCACTTGCCTCTGTATCTTCCTGACAGTGTGAACTGATCCTAATAGAAATCTCCCTTGTCTCAGGTAGTATTCCTCAGGAGTAGGGTGAATGGAAGGCAGTGGGGCTTACCTTTGAACTGGCTCACACAAGACTGCCTTGCCAGAGTAGTTAAGTTGTACTGTAGTTGGGCACAGGGCTACTTTGAAAGTGACATAGCCCCACCTTTTAGGAATTGCTTACCCAGGTCTGAGAGAGGGCCAGGCTACCATAGTTCAAGCAGACATTCTTATTTGAGTTCTGGTACTGGATCCATGGGGGTGGGGGCGGAGAAAGAAATGTAGCCTAATCCTGTGCATGTTTACTCAGTGGCGAGCTACCTTGAGTTTAATGGGATGTACTTCAATGTGGGTATGCACTGGGTTCTATTATGATGTCCAAATGCAGAAGAGGACAGCACTTTTACACCTTTATCAGTTAACCAAAAACAGGAATTTCAGAAGTTGTGGTCTGCTATGCAAGCCACAAAATTACAAAACCTCCCTTTTCTACACTGACTGGAAAAGTGTAGGAGCCCTGGATTAGATTCAAATTAAGGAATTTGTTGGAAGAAATACGTATAATTTAAGACATGCTGCAGAAAGCAGCAGTGACTTGAAATAACTGGGAAGAAAAAAGTTAAAGAAGGTGGCCTAAAAGTGGAACTACAAATGGACTTTGAAAAGATAAATATAACTACTACAAAAGAACTGAGTAACATTAATGTTGACAGTGGAGACATTACAGTTTGTTTTAGGATTTCTTGTACTTTGGTTCAGTCCTCCCGTCAGTTAAGGCTGAGACTTGGCAATAATGGAGGAAGCAGAATAGATCCTTAAGAATAAAGATATGTCACTGGAGGCCAAGGCCAAGATCATCCATCTTGTGGCATTCCTGATTGCTGATTGCAAAAGCTGGTTGGTGAAGAAAGGTTGAGGAGAGGAAAAGAAAATAAATTCATTTGGAAAGTGCTGTTGGAGCAGAGGTTTAGAGATACCATAGACTGCTAGATCAAATCCAGGCTGAATGTTCTGTTGAATAAATAAAGGACCAAATGATCATATAAGGCAGGTGTGAGGGAGAGGTCACAGAACTTGGGAAAATTACCCTTTTAAAAATTATGATTGAGTAATGCTAGGAGTTGTAGTTCAAAAACAGAGGCTTCAGTTAAAACGTCAGGACAAAATATCTAACGAGGTGAAGTAGGATATATTCCTTGATTGCAAGACGCATTGACACAGAGTGTGAATGGCCCCTCTAGCAAGGATGTTTGTAGTTTTCTGCATTGATTACAGGTTGGACTGGAAAATGAAGACTTTTACACTAGAAGGCCTTTCTGAGTCTAAAAGCCTGTGAGCCTAAAAGACTCGGAAGGTTGGCTGCGGTATGGTTAGCGCTGGAGCTGCATCCTGATCCTTCCACTCTCTTCCACAGTGCATGGTGCCCTACCCAAACCTCGATGCCAGCGGAAGCTCCGGGAGAGCCCCTCCTTGCCTCTGCCCATGCTTGCCCTAAATGCAGTTCAGCCATGCCAACAACCTGGATGCCAGATGTGTGTCCGTATCCAGTTGGCTCTAAACGCTACAGGTATGGGGCAGAAGTGGATGGAAGATGGGTGTAAACTGAGATGGGGGAAACATAAAATTTCTGTTTGGAGGTATTGGGGACCTTAGGGACCTTGTAGGCTCAAGCAAGAGATTGGAAAAGTTACTTTTTTTCAAGACTGTAATGTCTAGGATCTCCAGCCTGTTTTAATCCAAAAAGTGACTTTTCTGAACTCTGAATCAGATCAGTTTAGACCCCAAATACAGTGGACCCTCAACTTACAGATGGGTCCACTTACAGACTTTTCGAGTTACAGACTTCTCTGGCCGCAAAATTTAGGTTCGACTTGCAGCCAGAGAATCGACCTACAGAGCGGGAAAAAAACCAAAAATGGAACAAAATCGGCCGGTTATGGATTAATCAGTTTTCAATGCATTGTAGGTCAATGGAGCCTCGACCTACAGACTTTTCGACCTGCAGCCACTGTTCCAATACAGATTAATTCCGTAAGTCGAGGGTCCTCTGTATGCTTCTTTAGTTCTATATTTTAGGGCCGAAATAATTCTGAGAAGGATAAAAAAGCAAAAAAGCAAAGCGTGCTGCTTATATACCGCCCCATAGCACTTCAAGCACTCTCTGTGCGGTTTACAATTTAATTATGCAGGCTACACATTGCCCTCCTCCCAGCGAGCTGGGTACTCATTTTACCGACCTCGGAAGGATAGAAGGCTGAGTCAACCTTGAGCCGGCTACCTGGGATTTGAACCCCAGGTCGTGAGCACAGTGGAGCATGGAATCAGTTCCAAGCATCTGTTTGTCATCACCAGGATGAGAAACTGCCTTTCACAAAACTGAAAGTTTCTGAAAAAAAGGAGCTTCATGTTGTAGGAGCATAATTGTGGGCTTGCACCATAGATGTCCAAGTGCATCGTGTAGAGACAGTACTGTAAAGTTTGGACAAAAACCATGGCAGAATCTGGTTTTTTGGTACAGGAAAAAAAGGGGGAGGCTCAGGAAAAGATTTACTTGGAAGCTAACTTCTTACCATGGGCTACCACTCTCAAGATTTGGACATGTCTTGTTTCTCTTTTTCCATTCTAGGCATCAGAGGGCTGGAGCTGAATTTTTTGGTTCTAAGAACTAACCACTTTGGCCGGCTTCAGGTCTTTAAGAAGCAGAGAAACCAGGAATATACAGGGACATTGGTGAGTTCTTGATGGCCCTGCTTTTCCTGTGAGTGGGTTGGTCTTCAGTTGGGATGCATTTCTAAGGCTGCTCCTTTCTTTTCCTTGTAAAGTCTGGGTGTCTCTTAAGATCAATGTAGCAGACAGAAATAACATGTTATTTCATGTTATGCACGAAGGAAAGCATTCTAGCAGTAGAAATGCTGCCATTTATGCAGCTTTTAGAGCAGTTTCTGCAAACTGGGTCTCTCCCATTTTTTCCAAGTAGCTTTCACAGTTGCTGGTGCTCAGGGATGAGGGGAGCTGTAGACAACAATGGAGGTGAAGTTGCAGATGGCTTTGTTAGAGTTACTGGAGCACTACTGAGAAAGAAAGGTGGGAGACACAGGGAAATCATAGCATCCATATTTTGCTTATACAGTGGTGCTTCGCTTAACGGGCGCTTCGTATAATGACGAATCTGAATAGCGATGAATTTTTTGCAATCGCTTTTGCGATCACATTGCGATGATTTAGATAGAGAAAAATCGCTTTGCGATGATCGGTACCTTGTTTCGCATACCGATCATTGCCTAGTGATGATTTTCCAACAGCTGATTGGCGGTTCCAAAATGGCCGCCGGGTAAAAAAAATTGCCGCCCGCTGTGTTTTCGCCCGGATTCCTCGCTTACCGGGCAGCAAAGATGGCGGATTTTGGCTTAAAGGTGAGTTTGAAGCCCATAGGAACGCATTAAAGGGGTTTCAATGCATTCCTATGGGCTTTTTAAATTTGCATAGCGACGAAATCGCTTTGCAGCTATTTTTGTTGCACGGATTATCGTCACTATGCGGGGCACCACTGTATATATTTTTTATGTTATTACGTCTTACAATCTTTCTCAGGCTGCTGCATTAGGAAACTACTAATCTTTGCAGAGTCCTCACTCAAAGTCATATCTTTCAACAACAGATGACACCTTTCTGCCAAATTTAGGAGTCAGCAGGACTTTGGGGGGGGCCAGACAGAATCAGAAACCTGTTTCCTGGCCTCTGCAAGTAACCTGAGCTCAATGATTCTAGGCACTGGTAACTAGTCAGTGGATATCTGTATAAATCTCATCCAGACAAAAATAAAAACAGAAAGCAAAGAAACAAAAAATGTAGCACCTTAAAGCTCACCTTCCTATCTGGAGTTTTCTGAAGAAGTGGATGGATCCATGAAAGCTCCCAGTTAGCCTTTTTACATGGTATTACAGCCTGAAATACAGAAATGGGGGCACATGCATCATGTGCCGTGTGTGCCCGCACATGGTGTACCAACACAAGCTTTGAACCTTTTCCATCTGCTTTTAATAGGAGAAAAGCAGAATTGCTCAGCCATTTTAATGTTTATTTCATGGGGGAACGAGACTTGCTCTTTTAAGCTCAGGATTCACAGTATAATTCATGAACTGGAAATATTAGAGGCTACTGTTCTCACCATGGCAGTCTTTTCCCCAGTGGCAGGTGCATCTCGAGTGTTTCCCAGTGAAGAGTGGCCAGCAGGTGCTTGTCTCACTAGAAACTGTTCCTGCTGGGGTGCTGAGGCTCAACCAAAGCCTTTTCGTCACTAACAAGCAGTCAGGTAAGATACAGCCAGAATACTGAGTGGCCTAGTTTATTGCAGCCTCTGTCTACTAGCACCGAAAGGTCTCGTGTTCTATGCGCCAAATCCCTAGTGGGAATAAATGGTGCTCATTAAATCAATAATTATAAAGAAGATAAAAACCTGTGGCATACAGAACTACTATAGTAGGAAAAGATAAACACTGAAAGAAGATCACAGGTAAAATCAGGGATGGACAAATCTTGACAGTTTTGCTTAGTTTTTTTAAATTTATTTTTTCTGTTTGTAAACTTTTTGTGTCCTGTTCCCATATGGCTTTGCAATTTTATAGCTGTGCTTTATTTCATGATTTTTATGTATAGTTTGGTTTTTTTAGTGTTAGTAGTCTTTATTTTTATTTTTAATGGAAAATTGGAATATAAATTCTATAACTTTTAATAAAATCTGCTAAAATATTCATACACTTTTCTTGTGTTTCTCTTTATATGTATTTTGCACCATGCGGTTTGGCTAGATATATACACTTTTTCTAACTATTTTCCCTAAATAAAATGCATTTGTTGTGCCTTATTTTCTTACATCCATATAATTCATTTCAAAATGTAATGGCATTTTGGTGTATGTTTAGCAAGTGCAAATGACTCAATACATTTGCAGTAAACACAGACTCAACTGAGCTCTGTGGTGCAGTGGTTAAACTGCAGTACTGCAGTCAAGCCTCTGCTCACAACCTGAGTTCTATCCTGACATGTTCAGGTGGCCATCTCGAGAGTGACTCAACCTTGCATCCTTCTAAGGTCTTTATTCAATTACGTACCCAGCTTGCTGAGGGGCAAGTTGTTTTTTGCACAGTTATGTTGAATGCTCTAGTACTATGGGGTGATATATAAGTTGACAACATCTACAAATTTCTCCATATTCTGCAGTAGGCTAGAGGGCTACTACAAGAAAGGTAACTCTGTAGTAAGCATTGTGCCGCGAAAAAACAAATAGAAATGGAAACTAGAAAGAAAATTACGGGAGAAGCACAATTATAAGAGAGAACGATCAGAGATTAGAAATGTTACTTTTTTTTCCTTACTAGAACCCTTCTTATAGTCCACCAGCTCACATGGTCAGGGGGTCCAGGGAATCGTCCAAAACAGTAACTTGTTCAAGCTTGAAGAATGTCATTTGAAAGGACATTAGTGTGGTGGGGCTTTGTCCTGATGCCTGCTATGGACGGTTTTCTTTTCCCAGGACCTGAATTTCACTACACCTGGTTGCCAGGAGAAAAAGCCTTTGAGGTGTCTGTTCCTGAGGGCCCTGCCATCATGGTGCGCCTCTGCCATCAGTTGGCTCTGGAGTGTGAAGAATTGCACCAACCTTTCCACAAGCAGGTAGGAACTGTGAAGTGCCCTACCTCAGATGCCAGAATAACTTGACCGCTCTTGGGGATTATTCCTTCACCTGGTGGAATGGGGGAGACACTGGAGCATGGAGAAGTTACTTCTCCTTTTTCCATTTTCCGACATTTCCCAGCAAGCATGTTTCCAAGGGCACAGTTTGCTGTTTTACTTCAGGAAGCCAAATGTCCTGGCCCACCCCAGGCAAAGACCGTTGGCTGAGAGTTGAAGCCAGATGGTGTGAGCAGTAGGAGATTAGCTGGGCAACAAGATGGCGTGATGCAAAAGAAGGCAACATCCCATCATCAGTGGCCTGATATCTGATAATCTTTACCTTCTACTGCTGTTTCATCTGTCTTTCTCAGAGAACAGAGAGAGAACTGAAAGGGGGCTCCTTGAGCTACCCAGAGATATGTGGGCCATGCTTGTTGAGATATCGCACTGCAGAGAAAAGGGAGAGGCAAAAAGAGTGAAGGAGGGTAGAGAGAACATTGTGTGGGCTGAGTTAGAAGAAATACATAAGGCAGCACATTCTTTTCTACTTCAGGCGGAATGAAACTATTTAAAATAAGTAAGTAAGTAAGCCTTCTGACTACCAGGTACTTGCTTGTAGCAATAGCAAAATGACTGATCCCACCATATGATGTAGGTTGCTGACATGAGTAAGGTTTGATAGCAACAGGGAGTGATCAGCTGTGTGATGCCCCTTCTTATTCTGGTCCTGAAAAAAAAAATCTGGCCTTAAAACATGCTCAGAGGTTCTTAAATGTGAATACTATGGGCTCTAGCAGTGCACTCTTGGAGCTGTAGCAGAAACAACATGGATAATATAATATAAGGCACTTGGATTCTGCTCACACCTGTTTTATAGTCCTTTTCCTTTGTCCCTTTTCCCTGCCAGGCCCTGGTCTCCAGAAATCACCCTGCTGTGCTGCCATATGAGCTTCTCCTTCCTTGCTTATGTATTGAGGTGTGTATGTGTAATGTTAAGAGCCTAGGCCCAAAAAAAGGCTTGAAGGGGAAGTTCAGGACACAGAACTGGAAGGAATGAGATGAAAGGATTGTGCATGGAGACAGAGATGAGCCTTGTGATGGGTTCCATGCAGACTTTTGTTTTTTGATAGACGTGTCTGTACCTTTCAGAGTTCTGAGAGATTTTCAGCCAATGGCCCCCATATTGCCCAACAGAAAAGGTAGCTACTTTTCAGGATTACAACAGCAGCAATGATGATGAAGTGTTGTCAAGTCAATTCTGACTTATAGTGACTCTTCCAGTGTCTTCAGGTATAAAATACTAAGAAGTGGTTTACCAGTATCATCTTCTGGGGGTGTCCTGGGACTGTGCAGCTTGCCCAAGGCAGCACAAGACACTCTGTATGTGATTTGGGCTAGCCCCTCTGCCAGGTGCTCCAACCCACTAAGTCAGTGGTCCCAAACCTTGGGCCTCCTCCCTCTGCCGGGTGCTCCAACCCACTAAGTTATGCCAGCTGGATTCCCAGGTTTAGCAAGCAGAATACAGTATCCAAAGCAGCGTGGGCTTATTGTCTGCCTTTAGGAGAAGGGCTGTTTGGCTGCAGAAGGCTATCCCTCTTTCTAACCCCAAGACAACCGGTGAAAGCAAAGTTGGAAGATAGCCAGCTGGGCTCTTTCTGATCCAAAGCAGCATGGGCTTATTGTCTGCCTTTAGGAGAAGGGCTGTTTGGCTGCAGAAGGCTATCCCTCTTTCTAACCCCAAGACAACCGGTGAAAGCAAAGTTGGAAGATAGCCAGCTGGGCTCTTTCTGACTTCCCCTCTTTTCTTTAGGCATCGTATGACCATCTGGATAGCTTGCGGAAGAAGGTTTGCCCATTCCAGGATCAGCCAGAGATCTGTAAGTCTTGATTTTGAGCCAGATCAGTGTCTCCACCAGTATACTCTTGCTAGGCCTGCAGATAGATTATGGCAGCAATCTTTCACCAATAGCTTAGCTGTGTGGAGAATCAAGATTGTAGCAGGGGCCAGTGTGAGAGGTGTAGCCTGAGGGATTTTTGCTAAACGATGTCTTTGACATTTACCCACGTGGCCCCTGCTTGTTTCACTAGCCTGAGGCCCACAACACGTTTTCTTCTTTCTGCTGCCACCAGTTGACCTCTGTCAACACCATTTAATTAGAAAGACTGAGGTCCAAGCTGAGTACAAGGTTGAATAACACAGGTTTATTGATTACAGTTTGCTTAAACAGGTTCTTCACAGACTTTAATGTATTCATTAGATTAGTAATAACTTGTTTTACTCTTAGTTTTCTCTTAGTTCTCTAGAAGTTCCACACTCTTAAACTGCCTCCTTTAACTCCTAGCTCTGCCACCCTACCTAACTACCACAGACTAACCTCTACTTCAGACTCTCATCTCTGACTCTAACTGACTGAACTAACCCACTAAATGGTTGTTGTAGGGTTTTCGGGCTGTCTGGCTGTGTTCTTGAGGTATTTCTTCTTAACGTTTCGTCTGTCTCTGTGGCCAGCATCCTCAGAGGACAGGAGTCAGAACTCTGTCTGCGCTCTGGAGTCAAAACGGAGTTCTGATTTCTGTCCTGTGAGGATGCAGGCCACAGAGACTGACGAAACATTAGGAAGAAAAACCTCAAGAACACGGCCAGACAGCCTGAAAAACCTACAACAACCATCAGATCCCCGCTGTGAAAGCCTTTGAGAATACATTTAACTCACTAAACTTCTCTTACCTGACTCACCCCTCCCTTCTGATTTATCTGGCTCCGCCTCCCAATAGCTTCCATTCGTGTATTCAAATAACTTCAAACATGAGCAGGGTGATCGCCACAAAGTCTTTGTGCTTTTAAGAGCACTTTGCTTAGCCACAAAACTCATTAAGAGTATGATCAGACAGGCATTTAGCCTGGCCTTGTAGACCACTGTGGGAATGGGTTCATTTTTGACAGTGATCCCACAATATTATCACTGGAGTGAACCAAATAATCCGAAGAGCGTTCCTACCCTCACCTTTCTGGGCCCCCTGTCAGTAGCGTCTACTCTTTTGATGAGGGTTAGATCGCTATGGTTTTGTTTGTTTCCAGAGCATGTGATTGCTGGAAATCAACAAAAAGTGACCCTTCCTCTAATTTGCCAATATCATGAAGTGGCTTAAGAAAAGAACCATTTCAGAATATCAGCAAATTCATCATTTCCTCAGCTCAATGGGGGGGGGGGGGAGGAAGTGAAAAAATGTTTAAGTATCTATTAGAACAGCAAATATGCACCATTATATAAAAAATAAAAGACCAATGGAAAGCTTCCTCCTGGATCAGCAGGCTCTCAAACAGACCTTTAAGAGAAAAAGCAAACAAAAGTTTCTGGGAGGAAACTTTCTCTTTGGCTTTTTTAAAAAAGTGATACAGCACATATTTTGATTCTCCAGCTACTCTTTTTAACGTTTTGAACACTGAGGGAAGTGGAAAAATTAAGTGAAAGGGGAAAGGATGAGTGGCGTATACTATTATGTGCATGTCACTAGAAGTTCTAATGAACCATTGTCTGTTTGGGACTTCTTTTAATTTGTATTCTCTCTCCACTTCCCACCCCCATTGCACTACTTCTCCAGTTGGCAAAGATCTTTGGTCATCCACACAGTTCCAAGATAGCAGTAACAGTGAGAAGAGCGAGATGAGTATGCTTTTGCGTGGTCGCTGCCTGGTCCAACCCAAGGCTTCCCTTTGTTGGAAGGAAAACATCTCGCCAGAAGCAGTTTGTCGAGACATCCCCAATTCCACAATCACCAGATCGGGCCAGGTAAAGGAATGCCGTGGGCGTACTTCAAACTCAGTAAAACAGGGATGGGTGACCTTCGTATCTTAACGAATAGCAGATGAGTAGCCAAAATTTGGGGGAACTCCAGGGCACACTCGCTCCTTTGTTCAAGTTATATTTTTGGAGACCCAGTTTAGCATCAGGTTTGTACCTCCTTACCGCACCACTCTTCCCCTTTTTTCCTATTGCCACCATGTACTTGCCCAGTCCACCCGGCTGCTTTTCCCTTTCTTCCCACTGCTACAGGAGTATTATGACATGTAACTGAACCCCGAGTTATACAGACAGGTACCAAAAAGCAGGAGTTTCCTTTAGGGTGCAGCTGGATGCAAAATGTGGAGTTGGAAACTGATAGACATGCGGTTGAAGAAATAGTAATTAGACAGGAAATGTAGATTGGTTCTTTAAAACCTTAAATGACTGGTTAAATCATGTTACACAATTTATATAAGGGTTAGGAAGTACTTGGTTTCCATACTTAAAGCAAACTGCCCAAGCCATATTAAATGGCTTTTTCTTCTGGGCAGGAACCTCCTTTTCTTCACCTTTAGCAGAACTGAAAGTCTGCAGGTCATTTTGATGGCAGTGTAACAGACACAGCCTAAAAAGCCAGGTTTGGCTTTGGAGATCCGACAGGCCATCTGTGCAACTGGAAAATCTGCTTTAAAGAAAACTCTAGCAAGAAGACTCGCTCATGGCTCCTGCCTTATGGTGAGGCTATGCAAACCGGTGGTCAGCTTCAGGAAAGGCCATGGTTGTTGGACATAATATAGGAAAGGAAACCTTTAGGGAATCCTGAAATACTTTCTTTTTTCTAGGAATACATCTTGGAAGGGGTTGATGTGCATCCCCAGCTCTGCTTCAAGGTGAGACATTCATGTGCCTGGTCACTACCACTGCTCATTTACAAGAGAGACTTTACAACAGTGAGGGCTTCACAGGAGTCAAGGGCACTGAAGCTGCAGAGTCTGCATTGCTGATCCTGTGTTGAGCAAGGGGTTAGTCTAGATGATTTCAAAGGTTTCTTTCAATAGCAGAGTTCTAAACCAGGGGCGGGAACCTTGAGCAATGCCAGGAGTCAATTCCCCACTCATTAGACTCACCACAGGCTATGCAAAATGATGTGGGGAATTTGTGTTTTTAGGCCGTAAAATGTTTCAGAGGGTGGGGGGGGGAGCATTCCCAGGCCACAGTCAGAAATCTTAAAGAGAAATGAAAACTTATGGCTAGGATTCTAGTAGGAGAAAGTGTATAGGCTATTGCAGGTGAGTTTTAGTCCTGCTTTTATGGAAATATGTCTTCACGTGTCCTGAGAAAAGCAAGGTGGATCCAGTAGAGTGCAAGACTTCTCAGTTCATTCTGTGTATGTTTTTTTTTAATACATCAGAAAGGTCTGATAAATATTTTCACGAAGGCTTTCACGGCCAGGATCTAATGGTCTGGGTTTTTCAGGCATTCTTCAGAACACGGCCAAAGAGTCCGAAAAACCCAGAACAACGGTTTGATAAATCTTTACACAGTGTAAAGCATTGCCTACAATAAGGAAAGGAATAAACAGTCCAAATCACAGATCTGGCCAAGTCAGGATTCTGAGAATTCTTCAGAAATAAGTTTGCTGAGCTTTATATTTCCATGTTGCCTCTGAAGTGAGCCGTACAGGATGCAGTGGAGCTCCCTCTCAAGTAAGCATGTAGAAGGTTGCAGCTGTTGTTGCTCCAGATAAATAACAATGGGTACAGAAATCCATCGCAGAAATCTGGAAGAACTGTTGAGAGGTGTGTGACCAGATAGGTGGGATATAAATAAAATAAATAAATAATAATAATAATAATAATGAGTGCCACAGTGCTGGAACACAGAGAGATCTTCATCACTAGATGAGTTTCAGTGGGCTGGATCTATGGGGCTGCAGCTAGCTTATCTTATTTTCATTGTGGTGCCCATCTGAGATGTGTTAGACTCTGATCCCCCATCATCCCTGGAGGCAGTGATAATGGGAAGTGCAATGTATCTGCCTATTGGAAGAAGCTGAGTTAGATGATCTTGTGTAGTCTGTGCAAGTCTTAAGATCAAGGCCACCCACCATAGAAGGAGCGGGAACATGTGTGTATTTTTGTAGGAATTCTGGAAACCAGATCTATGAATTCCCTTTTCATTGCCTTTTGCTGGTGGGAGTATAGAGTGCAGGTTTTAATATAACCAATCATAACATTTCCCATCATTTTGGTCTCTTCTAGTTCTCGTACAAGAACTCAAGCCACATTAAGTGCCCTCATGAGGCTGGTAAGTCTATCTAAAGCACAGCACAAATTTCTGGTTTGGTACAGTGGAATCGTGGAAAATTTATAGGCCAAGGGGGTGATTTATAAATGCTGAAATCATACTTGTTAGGTTTGCAAGCACCAAATTAAGAAAAGGTTTGTTTGTCTGGCCCTTTAAACTCTTTTCCTCTTTGTGACACACACATAGTCACACCTGATGGTCAAACCACAGTAGTCTCCTTCAAGAACAGACAATAGAAGCCCTTGTGTTTCCACTGAGTCCTCATGTTTCTCTCTCTGTAACATACTGACTAAAATTCTGTTGGGAGTTTTATTCTGATGCAACATAAACAGTGTAACGTTGGGAAGCAACTTGTCTCAAGTTAAGAATATATCATAGAGATTGGCTGACATCCTGTTGCTTTGTGTAAGAAACTTTGTAACTTTGGGGTACATTCCTTGCCTATAAATAAAGAGTCCATAAGCTTATTCTTCTCTGTGTGTGTCCACTTTGGCTTGGTGCATGTGTGCACACACCAGAGAACCATGATGGGGACACTTTTATTTACTTACTAGTGAGGAATAGACTGAAGGTTACAGATCTTGCACTAAGTAACAAGATTTCAGCCATTATGTTATGCAACTCAGTCTGTAATTTGAGGCAATTCACGTCAAAAGCTACACCTTTTGCATTGTCTATTGCTGTAACCAGCAGGATTTTGGCTGCTTGACTGTGCTGCATTTGGATATGTAGGTCCTGCCTGGGATTGTCTAGCCTAATGTTGTGTCTGCTCTAGGAGCACAGAGGGAATAAATTGGGATTTACTGAGGACGAGTTTTTGACTTCTAGTTATTTAACAATATTGAGAGGAGAAAATTACCACCGTTGAAATGAAGAAAATCTTGGGGATAGAGTGTGTGAGGAAATTGAGTGTGGGTTTAACAAAATTAAAGTAAAACTTTCTCCTAATTACACAGCTGATAAAATGGTTCAGTCAGGAACCTACAGAGCAGACTGAGCAACTCTCTCAGTAGACTATCCCTTATTTGTTAGTTTACCTCATCTGGCACTTGTCTCAATAAACTCACTCAGAGAATTCTGGTAATGAGAAAGAATAAAGTGTTTTGTTCATTTACAGTTCTTTGTAGATAAAAACAAGCATCATATTGTGTGGAAATTTATTAACTGGTTATATCACTGAGCTTAACAGGTTAACTAGTGTAATTACTGACTAACTGACTGGTTACATAGCTGACAGAACACTTAGCCCTAACTATCTACTTCTGATACTGCTCTTAGAACTCTGACTAACTGTAAAAAGGCGGGGAAAGACTCTGAGGTAGTGAGAGAATTATTGGCTGTTACTGCTTGATTGACGTTAACTGCAGTACAGAAATTCCCTCCCAGTTAATACCTCTCAAAGACATCGTATGTAGGTTGTAATACAGCCAATAGAAAACTTATGGTAACCAGAATGGATCTTTCTGTGGAAAGACATCAAGCTTTGTGTAGCTGTAGTATATAAAACAAAGAGTAGTGCAATCAAGTAATTTTGGAATCTCTCAAATGTGGATCATTCATTGTATTACTTTACACTAGAGCAGTGGTTCCCAGCCTTGGATAACCCTGGTGTTCTTGGACTACATCTCTAGAAGCCCAGCACAGCACAGCTAGTGGTGAGGACTTGTGGGAACTACAGTCCAAGAACATCTGAGTTACCCAAGGTTGGGAACCACTGCACTCAAGCATGGCTTGCCAACACTGTGACTTCTGGGGGCCTTCCTGCTTATTCTGCTTTGGGGACATTGACCTTCCAACCTAAATATATGCCCTCATGGTGTCATTGGAAAGACATCCCTCTTATTTATTCTCAAAAATTACTTGGAAGCACTCTGTTCTTTTCTCCTAAGAATATGCCTTTGCCCCTGGCTAAATAATGGATCTCAGGATCCTAGTAAAATGTAAGAGAAGTTCTATCTTCCCCATTCTCTTCCAGAGCTTTGAAAAGTTCGTTTTATGGTCTGCAACTTATTAGCAAGCATTCTCTGTTCCAACTCCTGGTCTATTGTAACTGACAGTGACTTTCCACAGTTTTAAGTAGACATGTGAAGATTTTTTTTGTTTGGATAAGAAGTTGCTTACCTGGGGGGGTTCTGGGAGCTGTAGTCCAAAGACACAAATCTGTGCATCTCTAGTCTTATGCACTGCTTCCCAAGGGTTTTCCTGGAGGTGCCAGAGATTAAACTTGCATATTTGCTCTATGACTAAGTTATGGCTCTTTGCACATTGTCTTCCAGGGAAACTTTGCTTTCCAGGGAAACTTGCAAACAATGGACTCTAACCCTTGATTAACAAATACCCCGTGGAAATGTTGGTGCCTAAGGCTTTTAAGAGGATGGGGGCCTCTGTTAGCGAACTCAGAAGCCTGCTCTCTGCTGAGGTTATTCAGATATTTCGGACTAGGGTGTTGGCAGCCACTCAGTCGTTAATGTAAATATATACAGTACTTGTAGTTAGCAAGCAGAAAATGTGTCATTGATAAACAATAAGATCTTGAAGACAAAGTGTTCTTGCTTGTGGCTAGTAGAAAATAAGATAAAGATTTTTCTAACCAAAGTAGTTTTGTGAAAGCAGGGGAGTTTGTTATGGAAATTTTAAAAATTAAATGCCCTTGGTTGATTTTTAGAAAGCTTGTAGTGTGTTTTTCTCCAGCTGTAATCTGGAGGAGTTGTGATTTTGTTGCCATCACAGAAAGCAAATTTCACCCACACAAAGTGAATATGAGGAAATGTAGACTTACCCAGGCCTTAGGGCATGTCTAGATGGCAGGGTTTGGAATGGTCTGGTTCATGCTTAAAAGATTCTTATTTTTAGTACAATCTATTTTATCTCTCACTTGAGCGATCCTTCAGTTCACACCGGTTGACATTTTTTCTCCCATTAGAAGAGTCCAGACAGGTCTTTGGATTGCTCTCATTTGTACCCCTTTTGATTAATGACACTCCCCTTCCCGCCTCCTTCCCCACCTTTTTCAGCAGCCATGATTCAGTAGGCTCTGGCAACTTCTCTCAGGCTCTGGCAACTTCTCTCTCTCTCTCTCTGTCTCTCTCTGGTTAAATAAAGTAAGTGACATAGTGAAACAGCATCTATCTAGCATGGTATGCATTATACCACCAATGTATATCATTTATCTAGAACAGCGATGGTGAACCTATGGCACACGTGTCACCTGTGTCATGCAGACCCCTTCCTGCCAGCACACAAGCCATAAGTTGCCAGATTGCTACTCCCCCCACCTGCACAGCCAAACTTGAGAAGGTGGCTGCAGCCACGGTGCTGGTGCTTCAGCACGTGCATCCAGAGCAGCTGGTGCTGGCAGCGGATCTGGAGTGGGGTCTCAGGGCAGCTCCGTGCCGGGATTCCCCCTTCCGCTGCCACTTCTGGTTCCGCCACCATCACTTCTGGTTCTGCTGCTGCAGTGTCTAGAATAACACTGCATCAGTAGGAAAATATATTGTAAAATTTAAAATAGTAGAGTAGATGAAAATAGAGTGGGAAGAGGGTCTTTCTTGGTTTCTTTTCAATACCACAACTCACCAAATAAATCACAGGGTTGTCACCTCAGACAACACCGCCCACAGCTCTTATTTGTGTGTGGACTAACCATCTGCATCGGCTACAAAATTGGACAATTAGGAGTGCTCCAAATAATGTCAAAAAAAGGAAAACCCTGTAGCCCTACTGCTGTGTCAAAAATGGAGTGAAAGAGCTCCAAAAAAGAGCAAAATGGATTGTTTTAAATCAAAACAAGTGGACGGTGTAAACCAAATAGTGACCTCTTCTGTCTGTGTGGATGTCCCTTAATTAGTTGTGTCCCACTGAAGAGTCCCAAAGGGATGGGAAACTAAGGTCTGCTGCCTTGCCATTGTATATTAAATTAATGTAGATGGTATTTTATTCCTTGTTGTGAGGTTTAAATAGAGGTATACACAAAATGTTATGAGGAATAAAGAAAGTAATCAGAAATCTTATTCTCCGTCTCTTGTAACACTAGTACTGAAAATCATTTGATAAAGCTGAATGGGGATATAAATATTCAGAGTGGAGAAAAGGAAGTAAAAATTTTTGCAGTGGGTAGTCAAACCAGATGATTCAGGAGGAATAGCTGAGTCTGTTGCAATGAAGCCAGCAAAAAAGTCCTTTGCTACCTTAAAGACTAATATTTATTTATTAGTAATTTATTTGTTAGATAAATTTGTTGAGGATAAGGCAATCAGTCAGTCCTAATCATGGTTCTGAAGCTCAACCTCAAAAAAACTAAGATCATGGCCACTGGTCCCATAACCTCCTGGCAAATAGAAGGGGAAGATACGGAGGCAGTGACAGATTTTACTTTCTTGGGCTCCATGACCACTGCAGATGGGGACACCAGCCATGAAATTAAAAGACGCCTGCTTCTTGGGAGGAAAGCGATAACAAACCTCGACATCATCTTATAAATCAGAGACATCACCTTGCCAACAAAGGTCCGCATAGTCAAAGCTATGGCTTTTCCAGTAGTGATGTATGGAAGTGAGAGCTGGGCCATAAAGAAAGGTGACCGCCGAAAAATTGATGCTTTTGAATTGTGGTTCTGGAGGAGGCTCTTGAGAGTCCGCTGGACGGCAAGGAGAACAAACTTATCCATTCTAAAGGAAATCAACCCTGAGTGCTCACTAAGGGCAGATCCTGAAGCTGAGGCTCCAATACTTTGGCCATCTCATGAGAAGAGAAGACTCTCTGGAAAAGACCCTGATGTTGGGAAAGAGTGAAGGCAAGAGGAGAAGAGGACGACAGAGGATGAGGTGATTGGACAGTGTCATCAAGGCTACCAACATGAATTTGACCAAACTCCAGGAGGCAGTAAAAGACAGGAGGGCTTAGCGTGCTCTGGTCCATGGGGTCATGAAGAGTTGGACACGGCTTAATGAATAAGCAACAAACAAATCATGGTTCTAAATACATGTTTACTAAGGAGCAGCAGTGGGAGAGGATGTTACCCCACTTCTTGGGAATGGAGAAGCAAAGCAAGGAGTGGAATTTCTGATTGGAGTGAATATTTCGAAAGTGCCTTTGAAATAAAGGGTCCAAACCAAATAAAATACAAATGCAAGAATAGGTGATACAGTGGTGCCTCGCTTTACGATTGCTCCGCATTACGACGAATCCGCTTTACAACGATCTTTTTGCGATCACAATTGCGATCACAAAATGATGGTCTAAATGGGGGAATTTCGCTTTGCGATGATCGGTTCCCTGCTTCGGCAGTTTCAAAATGGCCACCGGGTAAATAAAATGGCTCCCCGCTGTGTTTAGGGTTGGATTCCTCACTATACAGGCAGCGAAAATGGCCGCCGTATGGAGGATCTTTGCTGGACGGTGAGTTTTAAGCCCATTGGAACACATTAAAAGGTTTTCAATGCATTTCAATGGGCTTTTTATTTATTTTATTTTTTTATTTTCGCTTTACGATGTTTTCGCTTAATGGCGATTTTCCTGAACAGATTATTGTCGTTAAGCGAGGCACCACTGTACCTTTACAGACCATTAAAATCATCACACAATATGCAATCTTTTGTAAATAAAAACACCACTTCTATGGGCTTGTACCAGTATGAAGAAATTAAAAGTCAAAAAGTTCATGGCAAGATGGATTTCACCAAGCGCATCTTTCTTAAATGTAAATAAGGAGAGGTGCAGAAAGCAGTGGTAGCTGTTTTAAGGTTACAGCTGAGGCAGCTGTGGATTGAAAGTCACACACTAATTCTTCAAAGAAGCACAGGCTATGTGCATGCACACACCTCCCCATTTGGCCTTTCTTTGAAATGGACAGGTCTAGAAATGGGGACTTTATATCGTATTAGAAATGAGGCATGGCATCACAGGTGGTGCTGATTCCCGTCCTGCACACCAGAACTGGCCAGCCTGGTTACCGGTCTTTGTGTGGCACAGGAGCCCCCTTTCATCACCAGTGCACCAGGAAGAAGCCTGGCTTGTTCTTCCCTGCCTCCCTGAGTAGCCAACCACTCATTGGCTGATTGGGGAGACTGTGCGCCGCAGTGGTCAGCTGACTGGGGAGGTGGCAACAGTCGGCCAGGCTCCTTTTTGGCTTGGTGCACCAATGTTGAAGGTGGACCCCTGTGCTGTGCAGAGCCCAGTAAGTGGACCGGCCAGTTCTGGGCATACAGGACAGGAATTGGCACCACTTGCGGTGCAGTCTTTCGTTTCTAATAGGACACGAAGTGCCCATCTCTAGGCATGCTTCTGCTTTGCCAGCGAGGTGCCTGTTGCACTGTATTGTAGTCCCCATTAATTCCTTTTGTGCTAAATTTAAGTGGTCCCAGTGCTTCTCTTTTTACAAGTGAAATGGGGCCTTGCTGCCCTGCTTGAAAGTTTATGGTTTCTGCATGTTGCCAAGGCTCCCCAGTATATGTAGAATAAGAAAAGTACTTAAATTACCAAAATGGCCATGCGAGGACCTTCGATTAGAAGCTTCCAGAATCTCCTGAATGTAGAGTATGTCCACTGAAGGAGGGGAGGGGGAATGAATAAAGTGCATGACAAGATAAATGAACGTCAGGGGCCTGAGCCTCTGACAATGTATAGTGTCCCAAGGCAGCTATTCTCAACAGCGGCCATATGGCACTCTGGGGGCCCTGGACACATTTGAAGGGGGCCACAGAGTGGAAACAATTTTTCACACACCACCTTATAAGGTTCTCTATGTGACTGATAAAATCCTGATTTGGCCTATAGTTTTTTTCATATTGTGTTTATGGCCATAGCCAAAAAAAGGTTGAGAATTGCTGTACTAAAGGATGGCTGTTTTGAGATGAAAAGAATCTCTAGAGCCTAGAGTGGTCGCAATGACCAGATAGGCGGGGTATAAATGGAATGAATGAATGAATGAATGAATGAATGAATGAATGAATGAATGAATGAATAAATAAATAAATAAATAAATAAATAAATATGCTCCTCATCCTATACACAAGGATATTGCAGCAGTGGGAAGAATCAAAGAGATATCTTTTATTCTTCCCCCACTTTCTGAAAGCTCCATCCTCCCAGATAAAACATACAGTTGAAAGAATTTACGGTATCAAATCATAAGCTATTTCAGGCATTAAGTTAAAAATGCTTATGCTTTTTAATAGGACGAGCTGCCTTGAGCTTAAACAGTGGCGAAGCACAAATAAATAAAAAGACGATTTAACCATACAGTATTAGTATGGATTGTTAGCACTGTTGGGCTATTAGTATCGAGAGCCATAGGGTGAGTTGTTGAACATACCTATTTTTCTGAAAATAGCAAAAGCTTAATAGGCTTACATTTAGTTTTGTTTGTTTGTTTGTTTACTCATTTCATTTCATTTTTATACCGCCTATCTGACCGAGGAGCACTCTGGGTGGTTTATAACAAAGACAGCAACAGCATAATTAAAATACCAATTTGACAGAACAGAAAATAAAAATAATAAAATGCAAATAATAGAATCAAAAGCATTAAAGTACATTTACATAAATAAACATTTTAAATGACAGCGTTGATTTTTTTACTCATTTCATTTCATTTTCATACCGCCTATCTGACCGAGGAGCACTCTGGGTGGTTTATAACAAAGACAGCAACAGCATAATTAAAATACCAATTTGACAGAACAGAAAATAAAAATAATAAAATGCAAATAATAGAATCAAAAGCATTAAAGTACATTTACATAAATAAACATTTTAAATGACAGCGTTGATCACATTAAGGCTAAATAAGCTCAGCTGACTCAGGAGATATAATGTTTTGGAATGCCTGCCTGAATAATGACTTTTTAAAAATCACTAGCAAAGGAGCCAGATATAGGAGGGAGTTAATTCCACAGTGGAGGAGCAACCACTGAGAAGGTCCAGTTTCTCATCTTCTCCCTCTGGGCCTCTCTTGGGGTTAGCCTGCTTAGCCGGCCTGCTTGGGATGTTTGTGTAATGGCAGTTAGCAGAGTATTAAGTGAAGCCATTGAGACAACACTGTGCTCTTTCCTCCCCTAGGCCCTGCCTGGACGGTCTCTCTGAGTGTCACATTTTTGCAGCTGCACTTAAGCTTCAGTTCCCGCATTCCATCCTCCTTCAGTTCAGCCCATTGTCAGCTGAAGTCTTCTGACCAGTGTGAGCCTGAACCCCCCGTCTATACTATCACACATGTAAGTGACTACAGGGGGAGAAAGATGGGGGAACTGACGTGGGTTTGCTAAGTCTCTTAGTCAGGAGGACCTGAGAAAAGGCTGGGGGAAATGAGATCTTTTCAACTTGGAGTCCCAACTAGTTACTTATGCTTTGCAGCTAGCGGGATCAGCCCTGGCAGATCTGGACCTCATCCTTCCCTGGCGGTCCTTGAATCACTGTGTACTGGTAAGGACCACCATCTTCTAAATTTCAATGTATACTTTTCTGAGCGTACTGGTAAGGACCACCATCTGCTTCTAAATTTCAATGTATACTTTTCTGAGCAAGGTGCCATTTTTAGTGGAAGGTTGGGCTGCTAAGGATCCCATGGACCAGTGATTATTTATTTATTTTTTATTTATTTAATTTGTATCCCGCCCATTTAGACCAAGGTCTACTCTGGGTGGCTAACAACAGTATTAAAATAAAACAAAACAATAATATTAATACACTAGAGAATGGCAAAATAAGTTAGGTATCAGTTGTGATGTCAGTTGTGATTTGGCAATAGCAAATGAACACATGTGGAAATGTCTGTTAACAGCATTCCGTTTTCAAGTGTCCTACCTGCCTTCTCTCTTTTTTGTTTGTTAGGTCTGGCGTTCAGATGTGCGCTTTGCTGGCAAACAGCGTCTCTGCCCAGATGGTAAGTTGCAGTGCCACGTTGGATGAGAGGTGGGATAAGTAAAAGAGATACTGTATTCACGAAGTCTTTCACGGCCAGGATCTAATGATTGTTTTGGGGTTTTCGGGTTCTTTGGCCGTGTTCTGAAGGTTGTTCTTCCTAACGTTTTGCCAGTCTCTGTGGCTGGCATCTTCATGATGGGACTAGTGGCCATGATCTTAGTTTTTTTGATGTTGAGCTTCAGACCATTTTTTGCACTCTCTTCTTTCACCCTCATTAAGAGATTCTTTAATTCCTCCTCACTTTCTGCTATCCGAGTGGTATGATCTGCATATCGGAGGTTGTTGATATTTCTTCCGACAATCTTAATTCCAGTTTGGGATTTATTCAGTCCAGCCATTCATATGATGTATGCTGCATACAAGTTAAATAAGCAGGGGGACAATATACAGCCTTGTTGTACTCCTTTCCCAGTTTTGAACTAATCAGTTGTTCCATATCCAGTTCTAACTGTTGCTTCCTGTCCCACATATAGATTTCTTAGGAGATAGATAAGGTGGTCAGGCACCCCCATTTCTTTAAGAACTTGCCATAGTTTGCTGTGGTCCACACAATTTTCTGTAGCTTTCCATATCTCCCTTGCATTTTGTTTCCTTTCCCTTCTCTGCTATTTGTAAGGCCTCATTGGACAGCCACTTTGCTTTCTTGCATTTCCTTTTCTTTGTTGCTGCCTCCTGTACAGTGTTACGAGTCTCCAGTCATAATTCTTCACAGACTCTGTCCACCAAATGTAGTTCCTTAAATCTGTTCTTCACTTCCAATTTGGTTTAGATTATACCTGACTCGCCCAGTGGTTTTTTTCTTACTTTCTAAGTACCTTACAGAACTTTATAGACCTCTAGGACAGTGATCCCAAGCTTTTTTGAACCGTGGACTAGTTTAGCATGGAGGTGGGGCGACATCATTCATGCGTGCGTGATTGAGGCATGTGTGCATCCGTACATGTGTGTGCATTTGTGCATGTGTGGTTGGGGCGTCCTTGGGTGGGTGGGACATCTGTGCATCTGTGGGCAGGGTGTGCGTGCGTATGTGTGTGCAGGGGGGTGGGACATTTGTCTCCACGGCTTGGTACCGGTACACAATCAGAAGCCTGTGTTCATCACAGCTGGCATTTATCGCAGTTAAGGGTTAATTCCAGAAAGAATACAGACAGTCCTTTCCAATCACATCAGAATTAATTTGGGCATCATTTCATTCTTGCTGTAATTCCAGGCAAAATCACTGTCTATTTCTATAAGTTTTATTCTTCTACGTTGCTTCTATGTTCCATAGTTACAAAAACACTTAAAAGTTATTGAGAACATCCATAAATTTTATAGCTATGGTAAAAACTGTAGGCATATATACTTTAGAAATATATGAAAACTAAACTTAAGCTGGACGTGGTGGCGCTGTGGGCTGCAGGGTCAGAAGACCAGCAGTCGTCAGATCGAATCCACGTGACGGAGTGAGCTCCCGTCGCTTGTCCCAGCTCCCGCCAACCTAGCAGTTCGAAAGCATGTAAATGCGAGTAGATAAATAGGGACCACCTCGGTGGGAAGGTAACAGCGTTCCGTGTCTAAGTCGTACTGGCCATGTGACCACGGGAGATTGTCTTCGGACAAAAAGCTGGCTCTATGGCTTGGAAACGGGGATGAGCACCGCCCCCTAGAGTCGGACACGACTGGACAAAAATTGTCAAGGGGAACCTTTACCTTTAAACTTAAGCTGCAGTCAAATTCTAATTTAATCTCAATTAAATCAATACAGAAGCATAAAAATATAATTAAAATACCAAAACTAATGTTTAATTATATTCTAAAAATGCAGGAGCTTATAGCCTAACAAGGCTAATTCAGAATGCGTGGAATACATCTCTAGAAATATCAAAGTTGTTAAAATTAAACATCTTTGAAAGTAACATATATTACTTAGCTGTTTAGCATATCTAGACATGCACTAAAATTATTCTCAGTGCTCACCCAGTCAGGCCAGTATGAATCTATCAACAATCCTTTCTGCAGAACCTGGAGGTCTAGGGGCCTGGTACACCAACAGGAATTTTATAATAGAAATTTGTATTACAGAGGGGTCTTGACTTCAGAACGGCTCGAGTTAAGAACATTTTGACTTAAGAACCACTCTCCTAAGAAAATATTGACTTGACTTACATACTTAGATTTGAGTTAAGAACTGAAAAAAAAAACCACGTGGGAGGCAGGGAAAGTGCAAAATTTGAACTTTCAGTTAACTGTTGGCCAGTGAAAAGGGTGCCTGTCTGCTTCCTCAATCCTCCCAGCGTTTAGGATTGGGAGGCAGTCTTCGGACTGCCTGGTACTGCCTGGACTGTATTTTCCCTGCCTTTCATGAACCTTTCTTGACCTAAGAAAAAAGAAACAAAATATCCCCCTCTAGTGGTCGAAGGCGGAATAGCAGCTTCCCATTAGTTTCTATGGACGGAAAAGAGCAGATACGGATCAAATGGTTCTCAATGCATTCCTATGGGAAATGCAGATTTGATCTGAGAACTTTTTGACTTGAGAACCGCCTTCCAATACGGATTAAGTTCTCAAGTCAAGACCCCACTGTATTCCTGTAGCTCCTGTAACTACAAGGGCTTGTAACTCAGAATCTGACAGGCTATTATGATAATAATTGTTGTGAATAAAATTTACAAAGTCTGGAGGAATAAAGACTTGTAAAATTAAAAAAAATCTGGTACATCAAGATATTGCAAAACCCGGAATACTGTCATTACAGAGGGTGCAAATTATATGACCTGCAAACACTGATTGTTTTGCAGCTACTTTTATTAAACTTCTATTCAAGCCTTGTTTTAAAAACTCTTTCATTTTCAGGACTGTTTTTTTCACACACCACTAAATTAATTTAAATTGGTGCATATAAAATTTCACATCTTGTAATCCAAAAACAAATTTGTCCAAGCTCTGGGTAAGACATGATGCAGGCCTTGTTTTTTTTACGGCAGATTTCACGGTGCAAAAATCTTTTGTCTTTATGCGCTAGTATGGAGAACTGTTCTGGTCAAGTTAATTAGTAGTAATAATTATTATGGGGCATCAATTGCATTCCTACTTATGGCAACCCTGCCTGTACTCAGAAATGGTTTGCTCATCCTTCCTTCAGGGAGTTCTCTGGGACCATGCAGCTTAGAATAGAATAGAATTCTCAATGAAAGCTCATGAGATGGTAGAATTTTACAGCGGAGCTAGTAGTAAGCATTTAATGGCTCATTTCCACTCTGTTCCAAGAAAAAAAGAAGTTCAGAACCTTCAGCCTGAAATGGCCAAGAGCAACGTGTAAGAAAATACTGCAATGTACTATTGAACAGTATCCTGTTCACAATTCCAAAACAACAACAAAAGTGTGGGGCTTATACAATGGTGCCTTGCTAGACAGTTACCCCACATGACAGTTTTTTTCGCTAGACATTGGCTTTTTGGGATCACTATAGCAATTCACAAAACAGGGATTCCTATGGGGGAATTTTGCTGGACAATGTTTGGTCCCTGCTTCGCAAACTGATTTTGACAGCTCCCTCCGCGTTCGCAAACAGGTGTTTTCGGGACCTAAGCTTCGCAAGACAGGGATTTAAACAGTTGATTGGTGGTTCACAAAGCGGCTTTCCTATGGCTGATCTTCGCTAGACAACGACAATTCTTCCCCATTGGAACACATTAAACAGGTTTCAATGCATTCCAATGGGGAAATTCTTTTCGCTAGACAATGATTTCGCTAAATAGCTATTTCAGTGGAACGGATTATCATCGTCTAGCGAGGCACAACTGTATAGCTCTCTCTGACCGTTTACAATTTAATTATGCAGGCTACATGTTGCCCCCCACTAAGCAAGCTGGGTACTCAATTTACCAAATTCGGGAGGATGGAAAGCTAAGTGAATCTTGAGCCAGCTACCTCATATCAAACCTAGCTCATGAGCAGAGTTTTGGCTGCAGTTTATCTACTGCACCCCGAGGCTCATATTCCAGCCATGCTTTCTTCCATAAACCTCTGTTCATTCCTCTGTCCCACAGTGATTCTGCCTTTCCCTCCTCAGTGCTCTTTTTTCAAAGGAAAAAAAATTGGAAAAGGTGATAGGAAAATACAGGAGGAGGCCTCTTCTCCCTCCGATCTCCTTTCTGCACTTAAAGATTAATGAATGAACTAAAGCAATGCCACATAAACTTTTCTGTCCATTAGTGTTTTGATGAAGAAATCACCCACTAAGTTTTTCCCCAAAGTATTTGGGGGATATAAAGGCCGTGAAGAATCGCTTTTGGTAAAGATTTTATACCTACCTTCAAAGCTTTTTCTTTAATTAGTTTCACATAGGCACTGGGGCCTCCTGGCCTTTGGAGTGAGTCTTACACTGGGATTGCTGGTTGCCATCGTTCTGCTGCTCCGTTGGGGTCTTCACAGGCTACGTAAAGGTAAGATGTTTTGAACAACCAAAAGGTGGTTTGGGGAGATAGATGAAGATGGGAAATGCAGAGCTTGGAAACTGGACATGCTTGTCCATGATGTTTTGTTTTGCTGTAGACCAAAAAGTCATGTGTGCCAATTTCAAGAAATGGTTGTTGTTACATCCTGTCAAATAGCCTTTGACTTGGTGACCCTCTGAATAAGTGACCTCCATAATGGCCGGTCCTCGACTGCCCTGTTCAGCTCTTGGTAAACCCAAGGCCATGGCCTTCCTTTAGGGAGTCAAACCATAATTGGGCTCCCTCTTTTCCTGCTGCCCTTAATTTTTCCCCCAGCATTATTGTTGTTTTTTCCTAACGAATCTTGCCTTCTCATTATGTGCCCAAAATAGGACAGCCTCAGCTGCAGCATTTTTGCCTCCAGAGAAAGTTCAGGCTTGATTTGATCTAGTCCAGGGTATCTGCAAAACCACCTTTCAAATAAACAATTTTTCTTCCCATCAGCTTTTGTCACTTTTCATCTTTCACAACCATACATCGTAATTGAGAATACAATTGTGTGGATGATCCTGGCATTTGTCTCCCAATGACCCATCCTTAAAAACGGATGAACTTATTCAGTTCCTTCATCACCTGTTCTTCTGAGTGTCCGTCTTCTTCTGATTTCTTGACTGAAATTAATGTATTTCAGAACCAAAAAAACCCCTTGAAGAACATTTTGTATAATATTGTCAACATATCCATAGGGTTTAATGAAATAAAATGAGCAAAACTAAGGCAAATCCTGATCCCTAGGAGTTTACAATCTACATTTTTGACAGTAGGGGAGGCAACAAAGAAAGGAGAGGGAATGGCATTAACAAGGGATGAATATGAGCATATTTGGTTCAATGTGCTTGATTCCAATTGGCAACAAGCTCTCAGAAAGAGGTTAATTGCAAGGATTCACAGCCAGGGTGGAAGGAGAATGGCCAACGAAGTCTTGCTGCATGGTGGCACCCACTTATGAATCCAGACACCACTCCTCCTGTTTCTACATATCAGGATGTGGGGTGAGGTTTAAACTCTTCCTTCCAAACATTGTGAGACCCTGTCATACCTCTTTCACTGCACCAGTCAGCTGGGCACAATACAGTGGGTGACACAATTTAAATGAAGAAGATTGCATGTGTGTGTGTGTGTATGAGAGAGAGAGACATTCCAGCAATCTAGTGAATGGTTATGCTTCCCAAAGCTTGCCAAACATCTGTTCAGTGTATCAGAAGCATGATTCAGAAGAGGTAACTATGTTAGTCTGTGCTAGCATATCAGGCAAACCAAAATAAAAATAAATGTTGTGACAACTTAAAAACTGCTATATTTGATTTTAATGTGAGCTTTCATGAACAAGTACAGGACCTCACAAGCCCCATTGGTGTTTAGGGATACTAATTACCATATTGTTCCTGCTCCCTATCTATAGCCTGAGATTAGTTTAGCTACTAATCTCTGTCAGGGTTTATAGAACAATGCTTCCTAGGAGGGGAACTGAATAACAACAGGGGTTTTAAAAGTCATTGTCAGGTCAATGACTTGTGTCCACTTACAGCCTCTGATTTGGAATGATGTATAAATGTATAAATACTTGCCATGCAGTCCCACCCTTACATCTGAGGAAGTGGACTTGTCCACAAAAGCTTACATTAAAATATGGCCGCTAGTCTTTAAGAAGCACGATTGCATTAGAACAGATATTTCTCTTCAGAGCTTTCTTCCCCAATAAAATTTGAAATACTGCAATGAAGGGAGTTGAATTTAGTAGTGGCAGCTTTGGGGGGTGGGGGACTCATGGCAACGGGCACAGAAAGTCTCTGTGAGCCCCATGTGGCTTTCATGCCATGAGTCGCCCATATGTGTTCTAGAGAGCAGCTGCAGAGAAGATCCATTAAACTGGGACTGAGGACCTTGGAAGAGCCATTCTCGATGACAGGGATTGGGGGTCCATCCACACCCACTAGCTACATTTTCTTGCTTGCTTGCTTTTTTCCAGATGCACCGAGCAGGCACCCTTCCCGTCCCATCTTGCTGATCTATTCTCCTGATTCAGAAGAGCACAAGAAGTTGGTGTGTGCCTTTGCTGCCCTGCTGCGCTCCGCACTGGGATGCCCTGTTCTCTTGGACCTCTGGGAGCTGGGCCTTGTGGGGCGACTGGGCATCTTGCCCTGGATGTACGCCCAACGAGAGCACGTCGGCCGGGAGCAAGGCCAGGTGCTCCTCCTGTGGAGTGCAGGGAGTGCGCGTGCCTACGCACTCTGGCGAGGGAAGGCGAGTGGAGAGGGCAGGAAGGCGCCAGAACCCCATGACCTTTTTGGGGCAGCCATGGCTTGCTTGCAAGGCGAACTCCAGGGTGTATCAGGAACTGTGAAGAGAGACTGGGTCATAGCCTACTTCAGTAAACTGTGTGGCCGGCGGGACATCCCCCGTGCGCTGCGCTTTCTTCCCCGCTACCGCCTGCCTCAGGAACTACCAGGACTCGTCAAGATACTGCAGGGCCCGTCCACCTTAGCACCCAGCTGGCTCCATGCAAGTGCCAAGGCCTTAGTGTACCGCCTGCTGAAGGCAGAGAAAAAGAAAGCACCAAGGAACTGGCTGTATCGATCCTGGAGGACACCCACCGAGAGGTTTACAGGCTCCCTGGTCCCTTTCACTCATCCAAAGCTGCGTCGGCCAAGCTGCACTTGAACGGCGATTAAGAGATACGTGCATTTTCGCTGGAGGAGTGTGGGTTGGGAATCTGAGCAGCCACCCAGGTTACTCGTGACAAAGCGGCCTGAGAAATGGAACCGAGAAAGTCAGGCATCAGTAGCCTGCTGAGCCGTGAGTCCAGTACTGCAAAAAAGGAAGGGCCGAAATCAGCAAAATATCTTAGCTATTGAAAGGCTGGTTGACAGGTAGTCCTGCCCTCCTACGCTAGCAATGGCAACTGTTGCCATGGAGATGCCCAGTGCAGGATAAGTTAGTACAAGCAACACGCAAGGGTAAGGAAAGGCAAGAAGGCCTTGGCACTGAAAGATGGGTTGTGCAATATAAATGTCTGTGTCGTCATCTGTAATTCATGCAGTGGACCCAAAAGCTGCAGTTTCTGAGAAAGTGTCCCCCCCAGAGGACAGGCGCAGCAATGCCAGTTGTACTGACAGGTCCTTGACCACGCGCAGGAATGTCTTTATGATTTCATCTGGTGAATTGGTCAGATTGAATTCTGACATTGCTCAACAGTTGGGTCAGAAGGGCTGTCACTCCCTTTAGAGCTGTAGCCAGATTTGGTCTAGCCAGATACGTGAGGTGCTCAAGAATATAATGGGGGTCCGTGTCCCTTTCTGAGCAAATCTCTTATTTTACCTGTGGAGACAGAAAGAATTAAATTAGCATTCTAGCCATTTATACTCTGAGACGTAGTACAGTGAGATGACTGTAAACATTAATCCACCTGTATTTTCATCCTCGCTAACAGTCTGCCTCTCTTCGGCGTCTCCTGTCTTTAAAAAAAAAAAGGAACTAAGCAAACATGTCACTGAGGAGTTTTGTAGGGCACTCTTGTTGTATTGCGTGTGTTAAACTCATTTCGTACGCAAGTCGTACATCTGTTCCTGTTTTTCTGTTTTCCTTACAACAGGATAATAAAATGACATTTATGAATAGTGCATATTCAGGGCACTTGTACTATTCACCTGCAGGGCACACGAAGCATGGATATCATACAGTGTGGTTTCCTAGAGTCACAGTTTCTCACTTGAACACATATCTGGGCTTTCAAGGTACATTTGAGAACTTACAGGCCTTATTGTAAAAAAAAAGAAAAAAAGACTCCAGGACAGAGAAAAGGCTAGCAGTGAGGGACGAGGCGCAGCCTGCCACATTGTAATGGCTTCTAGTTCCCCTCTTCAGATACAATTCTGCCTCCAAAGTCTTATCAGCCTACTTAAATACAAATCACTGTAAGGTGGGAGTTGTTTATCAGTGGCCCTGCATATGTGGGTTATATCGAGTGCCTTGCTGTTTCTTTACTACTTCTGCAGATTGTTAACAGTTTTCAAATTCTGCCTCAGCTTTCCCAAACCATTTCAAATTCTATTGTTAACAATTTCAAATTCTGCCTCAGCTTTCCCAAACCTGTTGGCCTCCAGATGTGTTTTGACTAGGCTGCCTAGCTGGCTGTGGGATTCTGGGAGTCACAGTGAAACACATCAAGAAGGCAGCTCTGAAATCACGTGTATTTGCCACAAGCTGCAATTGAACTGCAGCTCTCATCCTCTTTCTACATGGAGTATACTGGATACTGGTACAAACTGATGAGAAATGTAGTCCAACAAGGTTTCTTATCCCTGTAGAAGGGCTTCCTAATTTGAGATGCATCCAGGTGAACATCACAGCTGCCGTATTGTATAGAATTGCAACAAAGGGCCAGTTCTTTTCCTGCTTGCCCCACTCTCCAAACAAAGCTGCAGTTATCAAGCATCTGGCAGATCACCTTGAGGGCCGGTATGCATTTGGCTTGGTCATTTTTCTATCCTGCTGTATTGCCTTTGTAAATATACGTTAGGAAATCCATGTGTCCAAAAGCAGACGTTTTGGGGGAGTGGGGATGGAGATTTCTAATGCAAAATTGGCTGGTAGGAGAGTATTAAGCACTCTTTTCTGCCTCCTCTTATGGTCAGCTTCATAGCCGCCTAAAAAAAGCTTAGGGCATAATATCAGGGCGTTTGGCCTTTGCTCTTCAGGTGTATGTAACCAGTGGCACGCCAGTTGCCTACAGAAGTTTGCCAAGTGGTGAAAATGTAAACACATCCGCATCTCAAGAGAAATTTGGAAAAAAAATAAAACTAGGAGAAAGTGAACATCCAAAAGATGTAGTGGCTGGATGAAACAAGCGTGCCCATTGCCTGAGTTCTCCTCCTTCCACCACACAACAGTTACAACATTATAACTGCATGTGTGAACGGAGTCCAGTGGAGGGCATAACTGTAGTGATAGTAAAATGCTACCTGTGATGGAGGTGGGTGATACAGGGCCCTCTGGTACTGTTGGGACTACAGCTTTCATCAGCCTTAGCATGGCTATCGGTGAACAGTAAGGGCTGTTGTAACCATTTGTTGCTCACCCTGGATCTAGAGTGTTTAATCCAAAGCTTGGAAAAGTAGCTTTCGGAGTGGTGGTAACCTGTGTTAGCTCATCCACCCATGGAATTTTCTGCCTGACATTGCAGCCATCCAATATTTAATATATATTTGTGAACTGGATCCAGATTGATGTTAAATTAAACCTATAAAATTGGAGACCTAATGCTGTCAGACTCCCTGGAAAAGACTCTGATGTTGGGAAAGTGTGAAGGCAAGAGGAGAAGGGGAGGACACAGGACGAGATGGCTGGACAGTCTCATCGACGCTACCAACATGAATTTGAACAAACTCTGGGAGGCAGTGGAAGACAGGAGGGCCTGGCGTGCTCTGGTCCATGGGGTCACAAAGAGTCAGACACGACTTAACGACTGAACAACAACAATTGCTGCCAAGGGCTTCTGTGTTCAGAATATAAGGTTGTTCAGCATCAATTCATATTAAATAGTTTTTTTAATTCATTGTTTTTGGTTATTATTTAATATCGTCTGAGCCTTTGGAATGTAGCTGGTTGCAGTTGTAAATGGTGTCTAGTGGTACCTGGCTAACCTCTGAGTCACAGATTTAATCATCATAGCTGCAACTGTTCTTTGAACAATAATAGTTGTTTTATGACACGGGAGGATGTGTTAGTAGTGCCTGTTATCAGGCACCATCCTTTCTGGTTTGCCTCTTGATGTGGATTAAACCCAGGGATGGGGGACAGTGACAGAAAAGAGTGCAAGGCCTAGCACCAATTCTACTGACTTCTCCTGCCCTAATTGGTTCTCTCTTTATAGCATAAAAGGGGCTATAATTTTATCTGTACTAATTGCAAAAAATCTGATAGACCCGGGTGCAGAGATAGGAACAGATGGCCTCCAGGGCCTTGTTTCTATAACGAGGGGCGAACTCTTTCTTCCTCCCCTTATCAGTTCCAGCCTTTGTAAAGAAAGAAAAATTAAAGGCCTATTTATTGCTGCTCTTTAATCAGACTGAATAATATACCATATGCCCCAAATAGCTTTCCTGAGTGAAGAACTTAACAATATTTTTATCTTTCTCCCTCATACACAAAGTTATAATGAGTCCACATTTTATGAATTATTAACCGAAAGTAAACATACCAGCCCCTAGCTGGCACTCCACAATGAATCAATTGTAGAGGTGGGCTTTGAAGCTACAGGTCAATGCCGGGCCCATGTTATCCATGCTGCAGAGCTTTGAATTTTGGTTCAATTCCTCTAACTGCGCAGCAGAGGTATAGGGATTTGCAGAGCAGAATAGGTTCAAGTTCTCCAGAATACACTATCTCCCTTTCTCATTAACTGGCAGTTATACTCTCAATAACTTACTCTGAGATATTTATACTGTAAGAAGAAAGAATTAAAAAAAAACATTTCTTCACTTATCATCAGCAAACTGCCAAACACAACTGCTTTCAGCAGTCTTCAAAACACTCAAGAAGAGAGGGGGGAAACTCTCAGCAGAGATGTAGGGCTCTCCTTGAATTCAGAGGCAGGGAAAGCATTATTAGTTAGTGCTGGATAGACTGACAGTCACTCCAGACCAGAAAGATCCCTCATAGCTAAGCATGCAAGTTTGCAAAAACGCCAACAATCCAGATCAAATGCACAGCAACTCTTGGCATATCAGGTGACATCACCCCCTAGTGCACTTCAAAACTGAACCAAATCCTATTCTTTTTTGCCCTGGTTTTCACAGACACACCACAGTATTGGGCAGTACAGAGCCACCCCATTTTTCCTGCCATTTTTCTGCCCGTCCCTTCCCCACGTTCCCTGTTTGCCATCCTTACTCACTTCTTTCTTAAATATTTCTTTATTTTTTTTCTCCTGGGCATCTCTATTCATACATGCAGATGTTTGATACCTTTTTCTTTAACGTGCAGTTAAAATTGCAAAACTGAAAATGTGTGCATAAGCATCTTTAAATAAAAATTTAAAACAGGGACAGGAGCAGGGTGTTACTTTCCCATCATGACTTCATGCTCATCCCCTGATATGCTCACTATGACAATGTGCCCACAGGATTACAACAAAAAATAGTGCAATTTGGATATGTGTGAAGAGTAGATTTGCATCTGTCTGCAGCTAACCTGCAGTCCTCATTTGGGGTGCCATTCAAAATGGTGCTTCCATAAGCTTTATATAAAAATGCCATGCCATTTAAAAAAAAATCATACCCAAAGATGGAGGCTAGAGGAAAGAGAATGTCCTTTGGCTTCATGAATAATGCCACCGTTGGGCTCAAAGCCCATCAGCAGGAACTCTTGTTCCTTGGACAGCAGGCAGACGTTCCCAATACAGTAGTGCTTCGACTTACGAACGTCCCGACATATAACCATTTCGAGTTATGACCAGATCCGGCCGCAAAATTTTGCTTCGACTCGCGGCCGAAGCTTCGAGTTACAACCAAAAAAAGGACAGGGAATTCAAATTGCTAACCATTGGTGGCAAAGAGGCTGCTTCTTTGTAGCTCTTTTGCCCCAGTAGTTAGAGAGTGTTCGATTGGATGAGTCTTCAGACTGCCTGGTAAGGTAAGGTGCTTCTTTCTACTTTTTAAAAAGTGTTCTGGGTGGGTTCTGCAGTGTGGTTTTGGGCTGGGTGGTGGGATTATGTTTCTACGCTGTGATGGGTTTTGCAGGCTTTGTTAGTTTTTTTGGGTTCCCCCCCCCCATTTAGAATGGGTCTTGTTGAGTTTGTTGGGTTTTTTCCCCCATTTCCAGTGGCTCTTGCACAGTTTGTTTGCTTTCTGCTTTGCTTTTGTTGCATTTCTGAAGGGTCTTGCATGGTTTGTTTTCTTTTCTTTTTTCCTTCGGCCGGAACAGATTAATGACATTTCCGATGGGTCTTGCACGGTTTGTTTGCT